TGCTACGACTACTACTGCTACGGCTACTACTACGACTACTGCTACTACTACGACTACTACTACTACTGCTGATATGAATTGTAGTATTCTTCTACTACTACTACTACTACTGCTACTACTACGACCACCTCTACTGCGACGGCGACTACTACTACTACTACTACTACTACTACTACTACTACTACTACTACTACTACGACGGCTACTTTTACGACTACGCCTACTACTACTACTACTACTACTACTACTACTACTACTACTATTGCTACTACTACTACTACTACTACTACTATTTCCACCAGCACTACAATTATTTCATTAGTATTCCACGACTATGCTACTACTACTACTGCTACTGCCACTGCTGCTGCTAAAACTACTACTACTACTACTACTACTACTACTACTACTACTTCTTTTTTAAACCACTACTACTACGACTACTACTTCTACCACTACTACTACTACTACTACTATTATTACTATTACTACTGCTACTACTACTGCTACTAGTACTACTGCTACTGTTATTATCACTACTACTTCTATATCTACTACTATTATTACTACTACTACTACTACTACCACTTCTACTGCTATTGCTACTACTACTACGGCTACTACTACTATTACTATTACTACTACTACTACTCTAGTACTACTACTACTACTACTACTACTACTACTAATGCTACTACTACGGCTACTACATCTACTACTACGAGCACTAGTACTAGTACTAGTACTAGTACTAGTACTACTACAACTACTACTACTACTGCTACTACGGCGACTACTACTACTACTGCTACTACGACTACTACCTGCTAGTACTACTACTACTACTACTACTACTACCTTTACTACTACTACTACTACTACTATTATTACTACTACTACTACTATTACTACTACTACTACTATTATTACTACTACTACTACTACTACTACTATGGCTACTACTACTACTACTACTACTACGACGACGACGATGACGACGTCTACTACTACTACTACTACTACTACTACTACTACTCCCGAGTACCACCAAGTACTAGTAACTACTCAGACAATATCTTCCTTACACCCCTTCCACTCTCTTTCATCAGCATCTTCGTCATCATCATCAACATCAGCATCCTCCTCCTCAGTGCCTTTTATGCTGCGACCTGCGGGGGAACATTGGTTAATCCGCCCTCGACCCCGACATAGGGTTACTTTCGTCCGCCTTCTCCCTCACAGCCTGTGCGTCCTCGCTTTCTGTTCACGGCACGCCTGTCTCGCATGCGCTTCACAATGCCTGCTCAGAGGTCGGCTCTGCCCGCTCGCGATTGGGAGTCTCAGCCTTGCTTACGCTTGCGCACAACGGTGGTCAACTTTGGCTTGGATCGCGCCGTGGCTTCGTCTCAGCAGGCCTGGCGCGCCCCGGGGACAGCCTGCGTGTGCGCTCGGGATCCCCGCTGCGCTCGGGTCGCCCAAGACGTGTGTTGGGGAAGGTCTGGGGCGTGGAAAGGGGGGACAGGCTCGGGGGGGATGCAGTCGGACCGAGGCATGAGATGGGGGTCGGCTCGGGGAGGGTACCTTGGTTGATGTTCTTCGTGTTTGTTGGATGCTCTCGTGCATCCTGGGAAGGGCACCCTTGGATGTTCTGTGTGTTTTGGCCCGCGGAAGGTCTCATGTTTTTGAGGGGTCCGGCTGCACTTGGCGACCCGAAATCGCCCCTTCGGCGCCCAATTGGGCGCGAGCGCCCCGCCGTGCCCGAGGATCTGCCATCGCGCTCTCCTCTGTTGGGCCTGCCAGCGATGCGTCATCGTTTTCAGGCCGTCGCGCGGCAGCGCCGCTCACGGATCGGCATGAGGAAGAGGTGCCTGCAGGAGAGGGGCCCTCCCTAACAATGTTCGGTGACCGCCAAATGTCTTGAGTTTTGTGTCCCCCCTCCTTTTCTCTCGGCGGTGAACAGGACTGGTCCTAAAGCCTCCGCCTTTTTCGCCTCCTCCTCCTCCTCGTCGTCGTCGTCGTTGCGCGGCGGGTGGACCCTTGAAAAATGAATAGTTACACTTTATCGGGGGGTCCTAAAGACCTTTCAGGGTTGCGATCGAGATGAAGACGGCAACATTGGCAATCCCTGTCCATTTTGGATCGGATTCGTTGCAGCTGTTGCCGCGGACGTTGTACGTTAGGGCAACATCTGCTGTTTGCATCGCGCCCGTTTTTTCGCACCAATCTCGGGCACCCCAAGATTTGGAATGAGAAGGCGTTGTTGGGGTTCGCGCCCCGAGGGCGAGGATCTGTTTCCACCAAAGCCTTCTCGGGCCAGACCGACGGCTCCCCCTGGCAGCCGCTCAGGCCAGTCGGCCCGCCTTTCCGCGTCGGTCGACCCTGTCTTGCTTCGCATGCCCCCCCCCCCGCGTCCCTGCGGATCTGCGCCTCCGCCGCGTTCATATTTTGGTCCTCCTCCAGCCTCTCAAGTAGCGCCCCTCCGGACGCAGCCGCGCCGCAGGCCGCTAGAGGCAGAACCCCCTCGCGGCAGGCGCCTGCGCAGCATATACAGGGGACAAGGCAGAGGGAGAGCCGCCACGTGAGAGTGTGTTGTCCTCAGGGAAGCCCTGAGTTGGTTTGCAAGTCGAACCCCTCTGTTGACCCTCCTGACCCGTCACCCCCTCCCCTCGAGCCATTTGTCTCCGTCCTGGGAGAAAGCGCGGGAGTCGTCACCGCAATGGCGCAATGGGTCGCCTCGCAAGAACCAGGATGAGTTTTGAGGAAGAGGAAGAGGAAAGAGGAGGGGGGGATGACGTGGAAGGATGGAAGGAAGAGGTGGCATAAAGTGCGTAGTACCCTGCACTTGCGGATGAGGAGGATAGCAGCTGGGTGAACCGCCCCCATGTGTAGCCCTCATGAGTAGCCCCCACTGCCGGGCCTTCCATCCAGCCACGCGCGCGCACGGAGAAAGTAAGACCACTCGGGCCCCTCACTCTGATAAATCTGAAGGAAACTGCGCGAGGATGAGTAGGATCAGGAGTAGGAGGAGGAGGAGGAGGAGGAGGAGGAGGAGGATTTGGAGGAGAAGGAGGCGGACGAGGACGAGGAGGAGGAGGACGAGGACGAGGACGAGGAGGAGGAGCAGGAGGAGGAGGAGGAGGAGGAGGAGGAGGAGGAGGGGGTGTTAACATGTAAGCGTTCTGGTGACTGGGGAGGGAAGGTGACCCTGTTACCTTTGGCTCAAGTGTTTAACGGCTGAAGCCACCGAGACTCGCTTCGCCGTGCGGGAGTAAAAAGGTGACCGACCGTCATCGCTGTCACTGGGCTCCCGTGCAGAACCCTCCTCGGGGTTTTGCATGGTAGCGGAGCGCGGTTGCCCTGGCGGCGGCAGCGGCCGCTGCAGCTAGGCCCGCACAGTGCGACCCGCCGGTTAACCTTAATGTGCCGGCGGACAGAGATGCATGGGTCAACATGGACCCTAACTGCTTCAACGACCTGTGCGAGCAGGCGTACCTGAACGGGGACTTCAGTTATGTTCAGACAGCGTTACTTGCAAATCATTATGGACTTGCGACGTTCATTAACGAGCGAGTGACACAGGACCGAAGGGAAGTATCGAACGCTGAGGCATTTCAAATGTTACAGAGCGCTCAGAAGACCAACGGCATGTTGTTAGCGATAACGAAGAGAAACGCTGCGCTTGAAAGGGATGCTCGCAGGTTGGTAGAAAGAGTCACCGAGTTGGAGACCAACAGCGAAGTACAAGAGAAGTTAATTGAAACATGTGGTCAACTTTCGGAAGCAATCGAAGGAGGAAGCGGAAGCAAGCACGGGAACGGTACACCGATAAGCGAGTACAAAGCATTACAGGCGTTAAAGAACTTCAGTGGAGAAAGAGCAAAGTTCAGAGACTGGAACGACAAGTTCTTAAACGCGCTGGCCCAGGTAAAACCGAGTTACCGACCGGCACTGAAAATGCGGAACAAGAAGTTGGAGACACTCGACGGAGTTGTACCAGAGGAAGATGATGATGATATCATACGCATAATGAACGGTCGGTTAACAGCAAGCGAATACTTAAAGGCGAATCCAGCTAAACAAGCAGAGGATGACAACAAAGGAGAGTATGACTTTACCGAGGGAGACAAAACTCAAATGGAGGAAGACTTATGGTACATCCTTAACGAAAAGCTCGAAGGTGCAGAAGCAAGAGGAAAATTAAAGGGACTCATGGATGGTGACGGAATTATGGCTTGGCAAAAGGTTTACAAATGGTACTCGGCTGTTACCGGAGCGACCCTTTCCTCAAAGATGACACACGCCATGAATTTTGAGCCGCCCAAGAAAATTACCGGCACCGTTGCCCGATGCATGCGAATGATTGGTTTGGCGAGTGGCAGCAGGCGCGCTGGCGAACGCCCGACGCACTTAACATTGACTCATTCCAGAAGCTATACTCCAAGTGTGAAGATTGGGCGCGTAAAAAGAAACTCGACTCAGACACGAAGAATAAAGATGCGATGGGCATTGGAAATATTAACGAGACGAGTCAAGGGTCCGAAAATGTCTGGGATCAGACAGGATGGGTTGACGAGGACGGAAATTGGTGGCCAGAGGGCGGATCTTGGAGTTACGGGTCCTGGGCTAATGAAAGCGAAAGTGGAGATCATGAAGAAGTCGACGCCGTAAACAAGGGTAAAGGTAAAGGCTCAGGCCCCAAATGTTACAATTGCGGAGGCATGGGTCATTTAGCCAGGAACTGCACAAAGCCTAAACAGTTCACGAAAGGAGGCAAAGGTGGCAAAGGCGGCAAAGGTAAAGGTTACCGGGCCACCTATGGATCCTACATGAAAGGTAAGATTGGAGGCAAACAAGGTGGTAAAGGGGGCGGCTCGTGGGGTGGAAGTTACGGAGGCCAAGGCGGATTTACCCCCCACAGCGAGCGCGAGTGCTACAAGTGTGGAGCTAAAGGGCACATCGCCGTTAACTGCCCGGGCCCCAAGAAGACCGCCAACGAAGTTGAGCAAGAGAGACCAGCGGTGAACGCGGAAAGTGAACAAACCACCTCGTTTGGCCAACCGCAGCATGTTCTCAGTGTTGAAATGAAAGATGAAGTGAACGTGCCGCCGGAACAGCTCAGAGCTGAGGAGATTAACGGACAATGGGCACTGCCCTCATATTCCAGAAAGAAAATGGCGCGTAAAGTCGCAGTGGACCTGAGAAAAGCTTACCAGGAGCACCAGCGCAACGGGAACTGCAATCATGTGAATCAATGGGACCAGAGGATAAGTAAAAGTATAAAACAGGAAACGAGTTGGTTGGAGAAATGTAGAGGGATTGGGCTAATCGAGATGCGAGACTGTGATCCAGAAATTAACGCGGTGCCACCTCAGAGTACAACGCATGAAACAATCGTGGTTACCGTGGACTCTGGAGCGCACAACACGGTAGGACCCCCAAGAGTAGGCACCTACTTCCCCATTAAACAAACAGATGCGTCAAAGCAGGGAAGACACTACAGCGCAGCAAATGGAACGACGATAAAGAATTACGGGCAGCGAGTAGTCACCGGCAAGAATGAACATGGAAACTCAGTCAGCATGCCAATTCAAGTGGCGGAAGTCAACAAAGTTCTGGGATCTGTCAGAGAAATGGTAAACGCTGGAAACAGAGTTGTGTTTGACAAGGACCTTAGCGGGAGATCCCTGAGTCATATCATGAATAAGGCCGCAGGTAAATGCACAACCATCCACGAGAAAAACGGCACGTTTCAGTTTAACATCATGGTGCCGAAGGGACCAGTGGAGGCTGTCAATCCCAGGAGTGAAGTAAACGCAGCTGAGGGTTTTCCGCGGCCGGGAACCCTCGAGGCGGACCTGTTCTACTAAGCCCCTCATTACCCGTAAGACCAAGCGAAAACTTAAACGTCTTTAACGCCGAAGAAGGCGAAGGGAGTGAAAGTGGGGGCAGCGAAAGTGAGTTGAGTGACGTAGAAGACGTGTTTGTAAGTGACGAAGCAGAGTTACCGAAGAAAGTTCACTGTGACATGAGACCATCAAGGGAGGAAGTTGAGGCGCACAATACAACGCATTTACCTCACCGAAGCTGGTGCCCACATTGCGTTAGAGGCAAAGCACGTGGGCGCAACCACAGGAGACGTAAAAGGGAAAGGAACGGAGGTGTACCAGTTATTTCAATGGATTACATGCGGCTTAAAGGGAGAAAGGAAGAAGGCGAAAGTGCCAGCAATGGCTACCCAATTCTGGTCATGCATTGCAGGGAAACCAAATTAACGTGGAGCCGAGCGTTGTTGAAGAAAGGAGTGGATTCATATTCAGTAAAAGTGGGGTTCGACATGATCGGCTTTACCGGATATAAGAAGGTTATACTCAAAAGCGATGGAGAAGCGGCAATTACAGCGCTGGCCAACAGGATTAAAGCGTCGCGTGACCTCGACATGGGTGTTGAAGTCAGTCCTGTAGGCGACTCAAAGGCCAACGGTGAAATTGAGAGAGCAGTTAGAACTGTGCAAGGGCAAGTCAGGACATTAAAGAGCGCCTTGGATGCTAATTACAAGACCGAGTTCAGTGAAAGTCATGCGATTATACCATGGCTGGTAAGCTATGCGTCTTCTCTGATTAACAAATTCACGATAGATACGGATGGAAAGACAGCCCATGAGAGATGCAGGGGGAGAAAGTTTAACACGCAAATTCCTGAGTTCGGTGAATGTGTCATGTGCTTAAAGACGCCTGCACACAAGGGCCGTGAAAAGCTTGAGATGAGAATGGGAAGTGGAGTGTTTTTGGGAATCAACGAGAAGAGTCAGGAGCTCATCATTGGGACGCCGAACGGAGCAATCAAAGCGCACGAGTTCAAACGAAAAGGAAGTGAAGCGGAAAGATGGAATAGCAGCGAGATCACCGAGATGAAGGGGCTACCTTGGCAGCCTGACCCCAGCACGGCGGGAATGAAGTTACAGTCTAGAATTATGGTACCCATGGACTTACCAGAGCAAGAGTTAACGGCGCCTGAGACGAGGCCGCTGATTGCGCGAGGAATAGCCGTAAAGAAGCACGAATATCTAAAAATGGGACCGACGCCGGGATGTTACGGGTGTAAATGCCTAGTTAGAGGCGACAAATGGCACAAACCACATAATGCTGATTGCAGGGCTCGCGTTATCGAGTGGTTAAAAAGACAAGAAAGCCCAAACATACAGGCAAGGTTAGCATCGGCCCAACTGAGACTCGAAGGTAAAAGCCGCGCGTCGGAAAGTCAAAATCAGGAATCAGAGAGTCAAGCGAAGAGACTGAGACCCAACGTACCACCTCCGCCGGGCGCCAAAGTTGAGGATGCAAAAGATGAGTGGGTGATAAAAGGAAACAAAGTTATGTCCACACCGGCGACCAAGAAGAGAGTTAGCCTTTCCCACCAATGGTGGATGCCCTGTCGATTGGGATAAACTTAAACCCAGGAGATTTACCCATGCCATTCTAAACGACAGCGGTGAAATACGTGAGCATGAAGATGCTTGGTACGGCAAAGAGG